ATAATAATAATAATAATCTATTCCAAAAATTTATGGTCCAAAAAGTTTTTGTAATCAAATTTATAAGCAGATATATGAGCAAATTTATAGAAAACAAAAATATTCAAGTAATAATAATAAAAATAAATATCAAAAATTATCAGTTTAAAGTAAATTATTTTTATAACGAGCAATTATTTTTAAATATATACTAATAATTGAAAAGTATTCTAAATCTTTTTTTATTTTTAATTATAAATGTAAATAAAGAATACAAAATAAAATATTTTGGAAAAAAAATCACTAAATAAATCAATGGTCATCACTAAATCACTCAATTAATAAATCATCAGCAATAAAAAAAATATACAATTTAATTAGCTAGAAGCTAAATATATTTTTAATAAATGTTTTTCTACTACTATTTTCTATTAAGTACTTGAAAAAAATGCCTTGCTTTCTGGCTCGATTTGCTATATTTTCGCATCACATTCAAAGCTGATTTGATCAATGCTCGTTGATGACGGCGACGCCCCTTGAGCTGCTCAGACTCCAACTTCAATTGCAGTAAGTCAACGAACCGACACTTAGCCAGACAAATCCATCAAGACAGCACATCAGCTGGGACAGACAGCCGGCAAGGCGATGGGTGTGTGGGTGACGGGGGGGCGTGGTCCAATACGCAATGGGCATGAAAATGTCTGCAGTTAGCCAGCGGCAAACATTGAAAGTGGTCAGCCAGAAGATGAGATCTGTGGCCGGGGTCAGAGGCAGAAGCAACAGCAGCAGGAGCATTTGCCATCCATTGGCCAGCAGAAAAAGTCAACGCTTGACATTAAACAGCGACAACATTTTCGCTTTGCATGCAAAATGCCGGCACAAAGGCGCACAGGATGTCGCGACTCGCATAAAGCAACTGACAATCGCAGCTTCCCAGGGCCATCAGCCGAACGAACCGGCCAGCGCCATCAACTCCGACCGCCGTTAACGAACCGCTAAAACATCAGCAGAGCACAGCATTGAGTAGACCAGGCTAGACCAGGCCAGTCAGCTAGCCGCCAGACGTTGGCGGAAATAGAGCAAAGTTTCGCAGTGAAGAGGAAAATGAAAAAAATAAATAAAAAAAAGCAAAATAAAACTGTAGAACAAGGGAGAGAAAAAATGGCACACACAAGCTACTTGAGCTGAACGTTCAGCAGGCACTCTGCAGCAGCCATTTGGGGGCGGGGGAATCCTTTTTTCCGCGCTCTGCCAGTAACTGGGAACGAGCCGGTCCGTGCATGCGGTTGACGGGTTAAGGCGGACAGTTGACCACCACACACACATACACACACCCACACCTACACACACACACTGGGCAGCTGGACAGTTGAGCTGTTGTTAGAGCAGAGGCGACTCTGCGTCTCTGTGCCGTCTTTTCATTGTTCGCCCGCTGCCCATTCTCAGCTTAATGGTCATGATTTTGACGGCTGTTTAGTGCTGCCCAGCAGCTCCCTTGCTCTAAGCTAAGGCTAATGGATAGGTGTGTGTGCGTGTGTGTTGCTTGTTAGTATAATTTTTAGGCACTACTCGAATGATTTTGCAAAGGTGCTCTCTGCTGTAGCAAACATAGGGCAAGCACGGCAGCGTCTTTTAATCAGCCACTAATGGCAATGAAACCAGACATCTGGCTTACGAATCAGCACTATGAATGCGGACAGGGACTAAGAGCAGAGAGGAGAGTGCCGTGGTGCAAGGAGAAGTGTGTGTGTGTGTGTGAATTGAATTCCAATAATATTTGCAATCTATAAAATATAAAATTGATCTTTCAGCTTAACTTTTCATTTGTTTAAATGTCAATAAATGGCTTTTTTTAGTTTTAATTTAATCTAAAGCGCAAAATATTGCTGTTTAATATGTTTTATAAGATATTTTTCCTAATATGTTTTTATATGAATACTTATTTAGTTTTGATTTTATGCAAATTTTATTTTTACATAGCGAATCATTATAAAAGATTCGCCTCGGATTCTCTCTAAAAAGACCTTAGTCTGATATAAATCGAATTATAATCCTCTGGAGAGCTCATATGTATATAAAATATTTAAAAGTAAATTTTGTAAATTTTGATAAGTAATATGAAAGTTAGAGACAATTAAAAATATCTATATTGCTTTATTATTAATTGTGTCTGACTCTCATATTACTAATACAACTTTTCAGATATACGCAGAAATATTTTATATATCAGTTAAATATGTAGGTTGCCTGAGATAATATCTAATTTTAATTTACATATGTATAATAAAATATTTTGAATATGCTTAAAAATACTTAACTCATTCAATTTGGTTATCTGTTCAGCTTTGAATATTGAGAACCTCTCTGATATTGTTTGATAATATTCGACCATTTCCTCGAACAGACTCGCCATTCAAGTGCTTTCACCTAACTCGAAAAGTTTTATGCATTTGGCCACTATGAATGCATTCATGCGAGTGTTACCGAAAAACCCAAAAATTCGAACGTATGGAACAAGTGCCATACAAAATTCAAATATGTTTCACATGCCGCTACATGCTCTCGCATGTACCACACACACATACACGCATACATGGTCATCCATTTGCTTATGCTTTTTTGCCATTGTTTGCACTACACTTCAACGCACTTTCGTCATTGATCCAGCGGGCTGCGCTATGCAATCCGCACTCACACACACACACACACACTCACGGTCGTAGCCACAACTCAACTCAAACTCCAATTGCAGCATTTTTTCCACACACACACACACACTAACACAAATGAAGCCGACGCTGTCTATCTCGTACTACTTTCAGCGAGCTTTTTATTGAATTTGCCCTCTGCCAACAACAGCGAGAAGAACATTTGACCAGGCGAACTGGCTCACAGACGGGGCTTGTTGCATTATGCCGGGACATACGTTTTCAAATTTCATTCCTGCGTAGACTCAGGTTCTATAAACATTTTTTTTAATATTTGCTATACTCTAGTAGTTAGAGTATTATGAATCTGTCGAAAAATAAGTAACAGGCTAAAGAAGTATTTGAAGTCAAATTAAATATAAATATAGATACTTATATAATCATGGAAAGGTCAAGAACTGAATTCCTACTGAATAAATAGTTTCATATAGTTGATAGAACCGATTGACATGCACCTCTGTCAAAAATGTAAAAATGAAATGAGGTACAAATTCTTATTTGGAATCGAATCGAATTAATTGTATGCCTTTTTATATTTTTTATTAAACTATTCACATGTGAATAGAGTTTTTAACTACAAATTAGCTTAAAAGTTTGTCACTCTTTACCCCAGAAGTCTATATGATAGACAAATTTGATTTTTTGGAATCTTCTTCTAAGCATTGATATTCCATGTCATCGAACATATCTTTTCTCTTTATGTCGAACTGATGTTATATATAAATTAATCGTGTAAAATTTATATCAGTTTATAAATAACTAACTACTAGAGTATATAAACTTTGTCATGCTGAAGCTATTCTCACTTTGCATGATTTTATTTTCCTTTTGCCATTACTCATATATGTGTATTTTAGCTTGATGTGTTGTGGGTGGGTAGAGAGAGGGGCGTTTGGGGGCGTTGCTGATGCTGCTGCTGCTGGGAGCTTGGTATGTTGCCAGGTTGCCACGTGCAGAGCAGCGGCGCTAAGCTTTGACTTGGGATTTGCATTTTTTACGCGCCATGGACCAACGCCCCCTCCTCCCGATCACCCCGCATTTCGCATGAGGACATTAGGGGGGCAATGGCATCAGTTTTGCTTATGTTGTGATTTTTTTTTATTATTTTATACATACTTTTTTCATATAAATTCTTTTTGCCTGTTGACGCTTTTGCTACGGGTCTTCCTGCCTTTTTTTTAAACCATAATTCTACAAATTTTCTCTCTCTTCTTTTTCTTTGTTTTCAATGTTCCCGGCTTTTGCTCGCTATCCTGTTTTGGGATAAAAGTCCATTTCATCAACGGGGTTTCCGCTGCCGTTGTGGCTCTTCTTCTTGCTGCTTCTTCTGCTTTGTCTGATCGCGTTGAAATTGTAATGAGATTTCAGCTCCGAAGGGTTGTCTGCAATTTTACGGTAATATGGCCAGAACCCGTCTATTTAATTTATGAAATTTATCTGCGGCTCGCATCGAGGCGTGTTCGCAACGGGCCCCTTTTTATTTTCATTTGCGGCTGCCAAACAGTGGAAATAAGGAAATGTGGGGAAATGTGAAAATGCATTCATCACTAAAAAAAAAAAAAAAAATTATAATAAAGGAGGTCTGCTTCCCTCCCTCTCGCTCCCTTTCTAACTCTCTCATTCACTCCTTTTGTTGACTGCCCCGTTTTTGGTTAATTTCGCTCATGTGGGTTTTAATAGATTAGACAGGAGTTTTTACCGGACTGGGATAGCTGTGCAATTGGGGGAAACGGAATCGTACTCGCCGGTTCATAAAGAAGGCTTAGACTTTACACAGTCGACTGCCTTTCGGCTGGACATTCCATACGTGTTGCAGCTTGTTGAGTGATGCTGTGAAGAGGGTTAACTCCTGATGAATTGGCAGAGCTTAAGCTTTGGGGCATTTATAATGGCGATATATATAATGTGTTAAATTTGGCAAACGACAGTTGGTGGTTTTGCTAATTGGCAAGGAATAATAAAATATATATTTTGTACAGCAAGTGATAAAGGGAAAAACAAAATTAATTACTTATATTTTATTAAAATACAAAAATAATTGATAGAATTAAAAATATTTCCATTTTGAAATATTTATGAGCTTCAATATGCTCAAGAGTTAATTTAAAACTCTTACAGAAAGACGTTTCGACTTATTAGAAAATTAATTTTTGTTTTGGTCCAAAATATATATGTCTTTTTCATACATCTATATATGTATATGTATGTATATACTTCGATATATGAATTAAACATATATTTTTTGGACAAAAACATAATTTTTGGTATATACCAAAATTTCCGATTTAACCCTCTATTAGTCTTCACTTTAAACCATTTGTAGAGACAGATCTTTGAATGAATGAAGAACATTTTAAAGTGTGCTTGTAAATGCACTCTCCTTATTATGCTCTTCTTGTTCACTCCAATTAAACCACTTTGAATTTGTAATTTGAGATGGTCGATGGTTTTTAGTGTTTCCTGCCAAATGAGAGAGGAAAAGCCTATCCAAGTAAAGTTGCTTGAGGATTAACTAAACTGGGGAGTTACCTCGTCTTATGAATATGATAATCATATAACATTTATGTA